GAAATGATGATAAATTAGACACATATGCAACACTTGGGTATCTTTAATGAGGAAATGTTTTGCCACACAGTGGCTTCATCAGTCCATACAAAAGATAATGATGAACAGGAGTTTTGAGGTAATCAGTCACTCGGCCTTGAGTTGATGTAATCAGTCCATCAATCTTGAAAAGAATACAGCATATGTGTGAAGAAGTGACTTATGTACTGTAGGCAGGAGAGGTGCAGCAGCTGTAGGTGGTGTCACTCTTGACCAATGTGGAAGTAGGTCATGCCTAAAGGTTTAGGCAAGTGAAGAATCCCCGTATTCAGATCCCAACTGCAGTTCCAGCGAAGAAGCTGCGAGACCACCCACTGGACCAATGGGACAGCAATACAAGTGAAAGTAGCCTGACCAGTGAGACAGGTATGAACGAAGAAATTCCCATCCCATCCACAGAAATGCCGTATTCATTGAGAATGACTCAGTGTTCATGGATATGAGAATAAGAACACTACTTAGATTGTACAATACTTTAAAGTATTCAGTAATTCAAGATAAAACCTCTAATGAAAATTATGACAGGAATGAAGCTTGCTACATGAAGTGATACTAAATATGATGAGAATTTTGTTGTCAGGCTTACATTAAGGTAAGGAGGTGCTTTTTAACAGTAGCTTTGAAGTGGTTGGCTGATAACTGTGACCCATGGCCTGGTGGCAAAAGCTCTCGCTTCACATTGTGAGGGGTCCGGTTTCAATTCGCAGCAAAGGTTGAAACATTGGACATATTTCCTTACACCAGTTGTCATTGATCACCCATCAGTATAAAACGGGTACCTGGGTGTTAGTCGACTGGTGTGTGTTGCATCCCAGGGCAAAATTGACCTAATTTGCCCGAAATGCTCTGCATAATGAGCAGCTTTCTATGTAGCAGTATGCCATTGATATCAGCTAGGCCTGTATACCTTGTACATGTACTTGTAGAAATAAAGATTATTATTATTATTATTGCTGCTGCTGCTGCTGCTGCTGCTGCTGCTGCTGCTGCTGCTGCTGCTGCTGCTGCTGCTGCTGCTGCTGCTGCTGCCTGCTGCTGCTGCTGCTGCTGCTGTGCTGCTGCTGCTGCTGTGCTGCTGCTGCTGCTGCTGCTGCTGCTGCTGCTGCTGCTGCTGCTGCTGCTGCTGCTGCTGCTGCTGCTGCTGCTGCTGCTGCTGCTGCTGCTGCTGCTGCTGCTGCTGCTGCTGCTGCTGCTGCTGCTGCTGCTGCTGCTGCTGCTGCTGCTGCTGCTGCTGCTGCTGCTGCTGCTGCTGCTGCTGCTGCTGCTGCTGCTGCTGCTGCTGCTGCTGCTGCTGCTGCTGCTGCTGCTGCTGCTGCTGCTGCTGCTGCTGCTGCTGCTGCTGCTGCTGCTGCTGCTGCTGCTGCTGCTGCTGCTGCTGCTGCTGCTGTGCTGCTGCTGCTGCTGCTGTGCTGCTGCTGCTGCTGCTGCTGCTGCTGCGCTGCTGCTGCTGCTGCGCTGCTGCTGCTGCTGCTGCTGCTGCGGGCTGCTGCTGCTGCTGCTCGCTGCTGCTGCTGCTGCTGCTGCTGCTGCTGCTGCTGCTGCTGCTGCTGCTGCTGCTGCTGCTGCTGCTGCTGCTGCTGCTGCTGCTGCTGCTGCTGCTGCTGCTGCTGCTGCTGCTGCTGCTGCTGCTGCTGCGTGCTGCTGCTGCTGCTGCGCTGCTGCTGCTGCTGCGCTGCTGCTGCTGCTGCTGCTGCTGCTGCTGGCTGCTGCTGCTGCTGCTGCTGCTGCTGCTGCTGCTGCTGCTGCTGCTGCTGCTGCTGCTGCTGCTGCTGCTGCTGCTGCTGCTGCTGCTGCTGCTGCTGCTGCTGCTGCTGCTGCTGCTGATGCTGCTTGGAATTTTCAGGCAAGGAGTTCCAGATTTTAGACTTTTTTTTGTGCACTGAGTTTTTTACACAGGTTGAGTACTGTAGAAAGTACGATAGTTGTTCTTTTCCTAATTTTCTTAACATTATTCAGATTTAATAAATATTGTAACATTATTCAGATTTAATAAATATTGTACTCAAATAATCCCCATTTAGTCTGTTGAATCATGATTTTATTGTACAGTATATACAGTACATAGTATGTTTTTATGTTCTGGTAATTGCTGACCTAGGTTACTTAAATAACCTGATACAGTATCTGCTAATTTGTAGTATTTTTAGAACTGATTACAGTGTACTATTAACATATTTATGGTTGTTGCAGCACCCACTGCTACTGCTTAGAAATTTTGGAAAATATTAATTAGGCAAGGTAAAAATGCTGTCTATTGAACATATCTGGCTCTTGTTTAGCAAGAACTGTAGAGGCTTCATTGCTTGTGGATGTTGTGGCACAGATTGTACTACCCAAATTTTGCATTTTAATTTTTAACCCTTTCAGGGTCCAAAGGCCAAATTTCGAAGTGCGCACCAGTGTCCAAGAATTTTCAAAAAATAATTTTGCTATTTTTTCTTATGAAATGGTAGAGAATCTTTTTCTGAAGGTAATAAAACAAAAAGTACAAAATTTGATGGAAAATTGATGAAATTATGCTCTTGCGAATTTTGACGTGTCAGTGATATTTACGCATTGGAGATTTTGCCGACTTTGACTCCCATTTTAGGCCAGTTATGTTATTCCAGTCGACCAAATTCTTAGCTATTTCACTAGGATTACTTCCATTCTATCGATTGAGCACAAGAAATCGCCAAGTCAACTGTTTCGACTACAAAATAAAGTGATCGGAAATTGGTAATTTGGCCAATTTAATGCAAAGTTCGAAATATTCTAATTTCAAAATAGGGTCTAGAATAAACAATGCAGGCATTCCTGGAACTAAACTAACATTTCCTCTGTTCATTAGGTACGTTTTCAGGCTTTACAAATGAATTCCATTTTGATTTTTTATTCACATAATGAATTTTTATTCAAACCAAAAAAATAGAGGATTTATTGTTATGCAATGCTGTAATATAACTGTATAAACAATATCACCACATTTGTGAACGTACATTAGACCCACCAGTTGGCGTGTATTAGACGTGTGGGATCATTTGTTTACTCTTCAACATCAGCAAAAATTTAACATTTCTGCTATTTTGAGCTCAGTTTCAACCCATTTCCATTACTAAAATCAATCAAAATCATCTCTATTTCTGTAATATATCTTCCATTCTATCAAATGAGACCAAGAAATCACAAATACAACTATAAAAAACATACAAAAAAACACTGCAAAGTCGCTGTTTTAATCGAAAATTACGGTCTCAGTTTTTTTCTCTCATTATGCACTGTGTGCTGCAGGATTTGTTTTATGTGGTGCACACATACCACATAGATGTATTCTCTCATATCTAGGCCCAAATTTACCTCTCACAGCTTATCAGAGTGAGCAGAGCTCATTGCGTAGATCTACAGTTTAGACCCTCAACGTATAGCCGTAGATCTACAGCACGGACCCTCAAAGGGTTAAAATTTATAACATGTAATTTCAAGATTTTCGTGATATCAAAATTTTTTGGTTGCTCATTTATTTTGAATGTACAGTATTTCAACAAAGTCATGCTACTGCATATAAAGTTGTGTATTTATAGATTTGGTTACAAGAAGTGATGTGGGGTTACACAAGGTATTCAGAAGACAGATGTGGAGTTGTTCAGGTGGCTCAGCCATTTATAGAGGATGGAACAGAATAAGATGACAAAGAGGGTGTATAAGTCTGAGATGAAAGGAAGGAGAGGTAGGGTCATCAAAGGAAGTGTTGGCAGGAAGGTTTAAGGTTAGGGGCTGAACATCTAGCAGGCATGTACATAAAGTATGAGCATGTTAAATCAGGACGAGTGGAGAGCAAGTGGTTTTAGGGATTTGGCTTGCTGTTGGAGTGTGAATAATGTAACTTTATAAAGGGATTCAGGAAAACTGGTTAGTAAGTAAACCGACATGAATCCTGGGGGTGGGAAGTACAGTGCCTACTTCTTGGAGGGGTGAGTATATTACAGTCTGGAGGGTCAGTTGAATTGTGGTATCAGAGTGCAATGTAGCTTAGGCACAGAATAAACATTTAGCAGTACAGTAATGAGTTACAGTGGATCCTTGAATTTCATCATCCTTTTTCTGTATGTAAAACTACAGTTATTCTAAAATGTATTTTTTGTTAATATTTTTGGGTGTCTGGAATGGATTAATTGGATTTACATTATTTCGTATGGGAAATATTAACAAAAAATACATTTTATGGAGAATAACTAGTATAGCTTTACATACAGAAAATATTTTTTTTTATTATCACACTGGCCGATTCCCACCAAGGCAGGGTGGCCCGAAAAAGAAAAACTTTCACCATCATTCACTCCATCACTGTCTTGCCAGAAGGGTGCTTTACACTACAGTTTTTAAACTGCAACATTAACACCCCTCCTTCAGAGTGCTAATGTTGCAGTTTAAAAACTGCAACATGATGAAAGGGATGATGAAATTCGAGGGTCCACTGTATTTTTCACTACAGTATATGAAGCCATTTTATTTACTTCTCCAAGGCTGTGGGCCTCCACAGTTGCACTAGAAATGGAACCCAAGGGAACGACTAGCTTGAGTCATTCCCTGTGGTTGTTTTGCATCTTGTATCGCTTGTTCACAATCATTGCACAAGGATTTTGTATGTAACCCATAAAATACACGCTATCTTTCATTCATATTTTTATTAACCAATGTTAAACCTGTTTGTGTCATACAGTGCTGAAATGTATTAAAGAATGAGGAAATAATTCTCATAATTTAAACCAAGGAAAATGCAACTTTTCGTCCATGGGGAAAAGAGGGAGGTCTAAAACTTCAAGGCCTCAGAACTGTGGCAGATTTCATAGTTTGTCAGTGATGTCTTTTAATGTTTAACCTGAAGTTAAAAAAAAAAAAATAAAGACAAAAATCATTCTACGAGCCCTTTATGGCAGACATTATCCTTTTCATTCATACATTTCATTCTTTTTATGTTTCAGACAACTGCAAATTAGAAAATAATGAAATAAGCAAATGAGATGTGGCAGGTAAGTGTTTATGGTATTTACAGTGCTGTGTATACTGTACCAGATCTAGGGTCCAACACAAAAATTTTCTGCTTGCTAGAAACTTTCCGACTTTTACTGGTAATAGCATTCAGGAATTTTGTTGGTTAAAAATATCATAGATTTACATTATGAAATACAATACTGTATTGCTTTGTAACATTAAATCCCTCGTTTTTTCTTCTTCAGAATACAACACTCTCTTGCTGTAAAAATACCATGTGTAAATAAATTGTCAACTTCTCCATTTATTCATCAGATTTCTATTTGTGTTTAGTGTTTTCCCATGATTAAAATAGTAAAGCAATATACAGTGTACAGTAGTCCCCCTGTATCTGTAGGGGATATGTTCCAAGACCTACTGCAGATAGTAGCAAATCCTATGCACGTATAATTTTTTTGTTTATGTACATACCTATGATAAAGTTTAATTGATAAATTACGTACTGTAAGTGGAGAGCGTATAAATCTGTAGGGGAAGGAAGGCGGGGTAGGGGTCGTTCTCAGAAAGGTTGGAAGGAGGGGGTAAGGGAGGTTTTGTGGGCGAGGGGCTTGGACTTCCAGCAGGCGTGCGTGAGCGTGTTCGATAGGAGTGAATGGAGACGAATGGTATTTGGGACCTGACGATCTGTTGGAGTGTGAGCAGGGTAATATTTAGCGAAGGGACTCGGGGAAACCTGTTATTTTTATATAGCTGGACTTGAGTCCTGGAAATGGGAAGTACAATGCCTGCGCTCTAAAGGAGGGGTTCGGGATATTGGCAGTTTGGAGGGATATGTGTATCTTTATACGTATATGCTTCTAAACTGTTGTGTTTCTGAGCACCTCTGCAAAAACAGTGATTATGTGTGAGTGAGATGAAAGTGTTGAATGATGATGAAATTATTTTCTTTTGGGGGATTTTCTTTCTGGGTCACCCTGCCTCGGTAGGAGACGGCCGACTTGTTAAAAAAAAAAAAAAAAAAAAAAAAGCTGAGAATTAGCACAATGTCGAGAGCTGCCAGCATCACTACTCTGCACTTTGGGGCCATTATTTAGCAAAATTAAGGGTTACTTTCAATACTTACACGGCAAACCGCGAATAACTGAAACTGCAGAAACGGAATCGACAGATATGGGAATTCTACTGTAGTTGTTCAGCTGTGTTGGCTTGGTGATATCTGGCAAGCCTTTCATCATACAAGCAGTAACTGCTACAGCTATGGTCACTAGTGACTTATTTTGCAACAGTCTTCAGAACTAGTGTACTATCTCCGGTGCAAGTGATAATAATTAATAATCTTATTCATCCTTTAGATAAAGTATCCATTATGGCATTCATTCTCTACTGCTAGGTGTGGATGGGTGGTCTGGAGCCGACAGAAGTGTTTATGTATGGCACCTCTATCCACTCTACATTATTATCCTGCTGTGATTAGTGATATTTAGAAGAAGGGGCATATTTTTTCCCTAGGGACAGTTTGTCGCAAATAGTGATAATAATAATAATAATAATACCACATATGGAAAAGTCTTTGATGTAGACAACCTTTTCATGTGGCGGTCTTATTTGCGTCATTTTTAGTACGTAATTCTTGCTGTATGTCTAATAATAATGATAATGCTGCCACCAGCAGCAACAGCCTGGTTGACCAGGCTACAACCAGATGAACCTGGCCCATGGCCAGGCTCCAAGAGTAGTAAGACTCTTGAAACTCATAAAAGGTACATCAAAGCTAAGGTAAGGATTGTCAACATGAAAAAAAATCACAAAAGGATGAACATGTATTTTAGAAACATTGCCTACAATACATCCTTGTTTCTTGTGGTGATTCTCTTCTCAAAGAAGCACATTTGTGTCTTAAGTGAAATGCTGATTTTTTTCTTTGGTTAGTTATGTAAATGCACTGTTGTTTTCTTCAGAGTGAACACAGGATGCCGCAAGGACTAGTACACAAACACTCGCCATGCTGATGGACCAAGAGCCAGTGAGTTTATTCTCTCCATGGGCTTCATACGACATTGGCTCCTCTCTACTCGGCAAACAAGTTAGTTTTGATTATTTTTATATCTTGTGCATGTCTTAAGATTATCACCTCTGGATAATATTACTATTCCATCTGGGTATATACTGCCTGTACTTTCCATCAGTAAATATCCTGAGAGATATAATTTTATGTTTTCTTCCAACAGAGCTGTCGTGTAAGAACAGGAAATTTAGAGAAGAGCAGTGGAGTTGGAGGAGGGGGAGATGGAGGTGGAGGAGGTGGAAGTGGGGGACTCGGAGGGAGCCGAATAGTCGACGCCCTCATCTCCAGTGTCCTTGATGAAACTGATCAGCTAGGTCTTGCTCACCTTCAGGATAAACCAGACAAGTAAGTGTCTTCATGATTATGGACATTTCAGGAAAGAGTCATTGAGTAATGTGATGGATGAAGGGCCGTAAGGAAACGTGAAGCTTAGCAAGAATGAAGGTATCAAAAAGCTGTGTAGCATGGGGAAAAAACTTGTACTGATCTTTAATGAATCTGCAAATGATAGTTCCATTGTACTTACTATAAGAAAAAGTTTGTGAAATTGTCCTAAACCACCTGAGTTATTAGTTCACCTTCATGGTGTAAGATAACTTACTGAGGTTAGATGATAGTCATGTGTGGTCAGAAGTTGGGAAATAGCCAGGTTAACATAGTCACAAAGGTTAGGAGAGAGCTAGGTTAGGTCAGGGAAGGTTGGGAGAGAACCAGATTAGGTCAAGGAAGGTTAGGAGAGAGCCATGTTAGGTCAAGAGTATGAGGGATACCAAAATTTTTGTTGATACCAATACTCAATTTTAGGCCAATACCAATACCATCAAACTTGACTGATGCCCACCTGTACCATCAACATTAGAGATATCCATCGATACTCGGTTTCATCAAAATTAACCAATGCTGATAATTTGACACTTCTCTAGTCTATGAGATGATAAGAGGACGACCAGGTAAGGTCAGGAGAAGGTATGAGATGGCTAGATTAGGTCAGGAAAGGTTATGAAACAGCCAGGATAGGTGAGGAGAGGGTATGAGTTGGGCTTTCTTCTATTTAGTAATTATTCAACTCCTACATCAATTCACTCACCTTTTTTATACCCAGAACCTAAACCAAGATTATATTATGATGTTATAATGCATACCATTTATAAATACTATTATTTTTATCAGGAGCTGTAGCAGTACAAACAGCATTGGCAGCTCAAGGGGTATGGGCCGGGAAATTGGAAGTGATGGGTTGTTGTGGGGCACTGGGGGTTTGGGTAGAGGAAGTCACTCGGATGACTTCTATCCCCCTGCTGCTCATCCCCCGACCCAGTCTGACTTCATCCACTATTTGTTCGATACTGCAGGTCAAGAGGATGAGGTAAGGTGCTACGGTAGAAAGTGGTGATCAAAAGCAGCATCAGTAAGTCAGCAGCTAGTACAGGTCTCCCTCAACATTCGCGTTTTCCACTTTCGCGGGTTTCGAACATTCGCGAATTCCCAGCTACCCAATCATATTTAAAACATGTCATTACATATCTTAGGAATTGTGGCAGTGGCAGAGTTTGTTTGGAGATAGGGCAAGATAGTCCTTCAGTATGACACTAATATCAACTCTACAGCTTATTTTATCTATCACAATTCATCTAATATGACATAATAAACAATATTAATAACATAGAAACTTGACATATACTCTAGAATGAATAAAATATGTCATTAAGTATGTTGGGAATTGTGGTAGTGGCAGAGTTTGTTAGGAGACAGGACAAGATAGTCCTTCAGTATGACACTAATATGAACTCTTTGGCTTATTTATCTATCACAATTCATCTAATATGACATATTAAACAATACTAATAACAGAAACATGACATATGCTCTAGAATGAATAAAATACATCATCATGTATGGCATGAGTGTTGCTGTGTTGGTGTTGTTGGGTGTATAAGGGCCATTGAGACATAAGCCACACACAGTGGTGGTGGAGGTAGCATCAGAGGCAGTAGAGACTAGAGGCGGCAGTGTTGTTGGTCGCCCTGTATAACTCCAACAACATTAGAGGAGTTAAGTTAGTGCTGTCCTTTTTCTATTGAATAATTGCTTAACTTACTTGTTACACTGTTAATGCTACACTTTATCGCTGGCTGGCTGGCGCTATAGCCTTTATTGACTTTTTTTTTTTTTTTTTTTCAACAAGTCGGTCGTCTCCCACCGAGGCAGGGTGACCCAAAAAAGAAAGAAAATACCCAAAAAGAAAATACTTTCATCATCATTCAACACTTTCACCACACTCACACATTATCACTGCTTTTGCAGAGGTGCTCAGAATACAACAGCTTAGAAGCATATACGTATAAAGATACACAACATATCCCTTATGCTGCTTTATTATCATATGTATCGTAGAATCACTGAAGAAGGCACATTCTCCCCTCTCTCTTCCTCCTCCACTTTAGTACTCTGCTACGAGTTCTTTCTTGAATTCTATACACCTACCATCCAATTTACTACCGAGCTTGGTTCCAACTAACTGGTTGTAAGTCAAAATGGACGTAAGTCGAACCTTTCTACTGAACATCAACATCACATTATTGTAATAATTTTATTTTATTGTTTTATTTTAGTATTTCATTTTTTACTTTTTATGCTGTTAGTACTGTATTTTATACTGTAAGGTTTAGGAGAAACACTGTGTACAACATGAACAGTTGTTTATTTCCCAGAACATTTGCATACAAAAATGGTTGTAAATCGAGTGGTTGTATGTCAAGCAGATTATAAGTTGGATGGTAGGTGTAGTTTTTCTCACCACCTTTACCAAAGGGCTGGCAATAGTACAATATTTTACGATGTTTTCATGTGTTTTTTGATTTCATGATTCAGTAGGTTAAGGAAGCAGTATTGTATTATATTTCCCTACAATATGTTGGGGCACCAAACATTCGTGATTTTTCAACATTCGCGAGATTCTTGAGGGAGACCTGTAATCCAGTACAAGATACCTTTTTTTAGTTTCAAGTTTTATAAGAATTTTTCTGATGTCATCGGCAGTCTGATTCTGTTCTGTTCAAATCTTTCCAACTTATCAGAAATTAGTGTTTATTTATATACCTACTGATTTATTTGTAGGTAACATACTACTGTATGGTATTTATTTATTAAATAAATTAAAATGTAAATATTTTATGCATTTATATTACACTTCAGCTTCAGTAACCATAATATTATGCCGGTTAGTTTATTAAATTAGTCAACTAAAACAAAAGTTGTATGAAATGCTTGTTTACATGTTCATCAACAGCATCTATTGGCAGTTGTATTTTAAGAGCTGACACATTATTTTTTTTGTGGCTCGGTAAATTATTCCATAAATATAGGCAAATACCTGTGTTTTAATTAAAGTTACTCTGTAAAAAGAGAAAAGACGACAAATTTTGAGTTTGTAAACTAACTATTATTTAACATGTTTTGTTTTCCCAGACTGGATTGCAGGGAAATTATGGAGAGTTCTTTCGAGAGCGGGAATTAAGTGGAAGCTCTCGAGATTCAGGCTATGGCTCATTTCTCGGGGTAGGTGGAACAGGGTCACCACCAGGGATGTCCTGTAGTAGTCAGGCCTCCATCTGTGATGTTCGAAAAATACCAGTGGATTCTCTTGGCCTTCCTACAAGTAGAAATATCAGCCATGACTTTGACCAGTTTACAAGTGAAATGAATGCACAGAAGAATTTCATGGATAACTTGCAACGTCTCAACCAGCTAAATGGTGGCAACTCTCCTGGGCTGTCTCTTCTTTCTCCTTTAGGAGACCTTGAACCTCTCTTACTTGGGGCATCTGATCTAGGGGATACAACCCTTGGACTAAGTCAGCTTCTGCCTCCTACACGGGATCTCCCACATGATCTTTTGCCTCCTTCTTCTACTCCTACCTCCAATGACCCATTCTCCATATCATCCCTTGGTGTTAAATCAAATATTGGCGTGGATGTAATGCGTGGCCAACCATCTTCGTTAGCTGGAGCTGGACCTCCTATTCAATCGCCACATCAGCCAAGCAATCTTAATGACAAAGGACAACAAATGGCTAATCTTCTAAGTGGTATGGGTATTCATGATGGCTCATCACAGCCCAACATTAACACACTTAGTACTCATCACCTGGGAGCTCTTGCAGCATTGTGTGCACCAAATCTCTCTGCTTCGGCAGGTAACCAAGCTAACTCGGGTAGCCTAAATGGTCATACCCTTTCAAACAGACCTCAGTCATCACCAAAGTTTCTAAATTCTCAGCAGTCCATTTCAACAAATGGAGAAATATCCCCCAGCATTATGCGAAAACATCGACCAGAAGATGAACGGGGTGTTCCTATGTGTGTGACCTCGCAGTCTGGTAATCAAGGCTCTCCTCCAGTGTCAAGAGTGTCAGAACAACTCACAGGCCCTTCGAAAGATGGTTCAGGACATTGTGGACCAGTAGGGCCACCTCCAAAGGGGCCATTTTTGGTCCCCCCACCAACATTCCCACCTACTGATGGTGTTCCCCCGTGGGACTTGCTTCCTCCTATGGCAGAGATCTTTCCTCCCCATGGACCTCCACCTCCATTACTGCCACCAAACACAGACCTCCTCCCCCCATTTACAGATCTTCCACCTCATCCCCTCCTATCTATACCACCGCCATTGCTGGGATTTAGACCATTCAGGTAAGTTAATCTTGTGGAATTATTGAATAATTGTCATGTTATTGGCTCTACAGATATCTTTCATTATAGTGGATTTGTCAGTGATTTACAAATAGGTGTAAACCTTCTTGGCTTCTTTATAATTACAGCCTCTCCTCACTTAATGACAGAGTTCCGTTCCTAAGACCACGTTGGTAAATGAATTCGTTGCTAAGTGAGGAGCATACTATAATTGTAGTGGGTTTGTGTCATCTATCTTTGATATTGTTTTGATGTCACCTTTGCACCATTTATAAAATTTTTGATATATTTTTAAATGTTTATACAGTATTGTACTGTATACTGTAATAAACAGAATAGAGGAAATCAGCTCTAATATACATTATTTAGGCATGCATACTAGTCAGAGAGCCCATCGTAAGTCCAAGGGGTCAGTAAATGAATATGTGCTAAGTGAGGAGAGGCTGTATTCAACTGCTGTTTCTGAAGTAACGGCTCTGTTTCCTGCCTGGGTAATGTGTTTTGAAACAAACTTGACAGTGTTTACTCTATGCACACACTTACCTAATGTAAGATGTGCATCTTTGTAAAGTAAATCAACTTCGAAAATGGGCAGGACTTGACCCTTGGCAAGATACTCTAAAGAAAAGTCACTCGACTAGGTATGGTTTAGTGGTAAGAGCATTGGTTTGACACTTGTAGGATTGCCTTGTTATAAGTCTGGTCCTGCCTGTTTCCTGTGTTTATAATCTTGCTTATTATGATTTCATGACTTAGATGATGGCTTTGAAGGGATATCAGCTGGATTTTGTCACTATCATGTTGGTGTGAGTTTTGTCCATGAAACCTGCATTTGTGGTCACAGTGAGAGCCAGGCTAATGTCCCTAGTGTATATAAATATACCTAGTTGGAGAACTATTTGACCAACATGGTGTAGTGGAAAAAGCGTTGGTCCAGTAATTTTGGAATTGTCTTGCCATGTGTTGAGTTAAGCACATCCAAATTTTTTTAATCACATGATTATAGTTTTGTGAGTCTTCATAAAATAGATGTTGGAATTGTTATTGGGCAATACTGGATGTATTTTTGCCAGTTTTCAAACCAATTTTTGAGGAATATCCTTTAGTATTCCAAGGTCTCACATCTGGAAAGGTTCTGGAGCCCAATTTTGGCACATGAAATTGTTGAAATTGCCTCTAAATGGGAAAACTCATCATCATTCTGAAGTAACCAATTAGATGCCTAACACCTTCCCAAGGAAAGTGAAGAGATTAAATTTGAAGATGTATAGTAACAGACTTGGGAAGCAGGTGTTCTCCATTTGCTCATGAGTTGGAATAATGACTGTTTAGACTTAATTTAAAAATTTCATAAACTGAAAGATGTTGCAAAAATCATACGAGTAAAAAGGTCTTAGAAAGGGCCAATCTATAACATACTGGAAACACATTCAATCCCCTCATGTATTTCTGTGATGGAATGTTAAAAAGTTCTAGATAATTGCAATTTATGGCATATTGATGCTTAAAATTGCAGCGTGCCATTGTATTTCTCGTATTTTTCCATGGGGAATAGGTCATTCGTATTGTTTTTGTTATGAATAGTAACATCACTTGCTTAAAATTTGTAGGCCCCTATATAACCTGGGAAAGTTTATACAGTTAATAAAGTTACATTTTGGCTTTAGTTAATACTGTACTTTTTATGGTTAGTTTTTGATTTGTATCTTTGTTTCATAAAATCTTTTGAAACCTTATAGGGACCTGGATCAACTGGCATTGTGGAGAAGAAAATAATGATATACAGTAATGTCTTTGGCTCCAATAATTTTAAACATGTATGTAAAGTGTTCATTTAAAAAATGGATGTAGAAGTGGAGTGAAAGATGGTAGGAGAGGAAGAGAGAAATATAAGGGATATTTTAAAATTATTGTAAGGTATTTTGGGATAGGAACTGGAATTGCTTACCTCTGTTGATCATCTTATTGTGATTAAGTTGTATTTAGTTATTTAATAACTTAAGATTTTTTATTATTAAATGAATTAAGTGCAATTTACTCATGTACTTTGCCCTGTCAACATAACAGACATTTTAGCAAGTGTAACCTAATTAAGGCTAAAAGAAACACACACAGTATATGTGTAATATGAAATATAAGTTGAAGGTAGAAAAATCTAATAAAAATTTATATCTGTGTGTCAGGTTTATATTTTGCGTTATGTCTTCAGGCGTACTGGGGGAAGTGGTGAGCTACATTCACGCTTGGAAGAATGTTATGACCAGTTTCGCCAGCTTGAGCGAGAACGTAAAAAGACTGAAGCAGAACTAGCCCGATGTTTTCCAGGGAAGAGAGTTTCTTCCGCTAATACGGTGCCGCTCCCTCGTCTCCCGCCATCGCCTTCCCGTGTTGACCGACTCATTATTGACCATCTCCGGGAGCATGCAAGAGTATGTAGAACTTGAGTCACTATAATTCAAGAAATTCTGCACCTCAGTTTAATTTTATAGTTTCATGTCTTTTCATAGATTTGTTAATGCATAAAGCCTGCTTAATCTTTTCATTGTTGACACCTTCTATGGTGCCATTTTGTTTTTAAATTAAAAATAATTTTATCAAACCCAGTTCCTGGCTATTTTGCTAGTATGCCTTTTATACTATGCAATGATTATGTGAAACTGCCTATTCTACCAACAGAATTATTTTGTAAAGTGCCTAGAAGTCAACGATTTGGCCAGCTTTACATTATTTTCATTGCATTCCAATTTAAAGGGAGAATCCAAAACAAATGTTCTAGGCACAGCACCGTGTCTTCCTTTGCAGATGACACCCAAATCTGCATGACAGTGTCTTCCATTGCAGACACTGCAAGGCTCCAGGCGGACATCAACCAAATCTTTCAGTGGGCTGCAGAAAACAATATGAAGTTCAACGATGAAAAATTTTAAATTTAACTCAATATGGAAAACCCATGAGGAAATTAAATCTTCATCAGAGTACAAAACAATTCTGGCCAAAAAATTTTAGAGCGAAAACACCAACTCAAAGACCTGGGAGTGATCATGTCGGAGGATCTCCCCTTTCAAGGCCCCATAACATTGTATCAATCGCTTTCTGCAAAGAAAAATGCGGGAAAAAATGGATAATGAGAACCTTAAAAACCCCAGGAGGCCAAGCCCATGATGAAAACTCTCAGGTCCACTTTTTCCCTATCAGGCTGGAAATATTGCTGCAAACCCTAACAGCCCCTTTTTCAAGGCGGGTTTAAAATTTTGCCGACCTAGAAAATGTACAGAGAACTTTCCGGCGCGCATAACGGAGAAAAAAACACCTCAATTACGGGGAGCCCCTTGGGGTTTCCTTTAAACCGTATTCCCCGGGAACGCAGGGGGGAGGGGATCATATTATATACACCGGGAAAAATCCTAGAGGGACTATATCCGAATTTTGGCACACGAAAATCACCCCACAAACCGAAACAAAAATTTTGGCGAGGAGAAACCCCCCCCCAATAAAAAAGCGGGGGTGTCACTAGCATTTTTAAGAGACCAAACATAAGTGTCGGGGGCCCGAGACTTTTTCAACGGGCCTCCCAGAAACACAAAAGGGGGATTACCAAAAACCCCCTGGCAGTCTTCAAGCGGGGCACGGGACAACACTTAAAGTCATTCCCTGATAAAGCGGGGCTGGGGCTCGAAAGTTTTTTTGCGGGCAGCCACAGCAACAATCGGGTTTGATCGGGGCCCCTGATCCACCGGGAAAGGCCGGGTCAAAACCCGGGGCCGGGGGGGCGTTGACCCCTGGAACTTCCCCAAAGGTAAACCCAGGCCAGGAAAAATTTTCATCACTGAAGTACATTACCTCTGTTCATTACTAAATGTCTCTGGGCATTTCAATGTTACCATGACCTCCATTTTGACTCTATCACCAACACAAAAAAATCAACTTTTTACCCCCTGTTTCTTGACGGGTTTAAAACGTAACCAAAAAATGTGTGGCCAAGGTTTGGGGGGCTGTTCCATTAATTGAATTTGACCAATTTAAAAGTTCAAAAAACAGACGGGGAAGGGGGAGGACTCCTGCCCTTTTTCCCCCTCAGGAAAACCACCACTTTGAGGCCTTTTTTAAAGGCCACTAAAGGGGCTGAAACTGACCAAAAATCTTCCCCTTTTTTCCCATTAGTGTGTCTTCTGATATCAATTCCCCTCCAAAAAATTTTGGCAAAAAAACCCTTTAAAAACTCATTCAAAAAATTTGCCCTAAAGGGTCACTATTATAACCCAAAAAATAGAGAAAAGGTTAGCTGAAACCCATTGGGGCACGGGCAGGGGGGAGGATTTTGTTAATCCCTTGTGCACATACTTTTCGTTCTTTCTTTCAAAAAAACCCGGCCATACCCCACTGAACGGGGGCCCAAAAAAAAAAAAAAATTTCTTTTTTAAAAACTTAAGTACATGTAATGAAAAAGGGGGTTTAAGGGGGTTTTACTCCCCCCTTTCTCCGGGCCATTTTAGCCCGCCTCTTACAACACGAAAGGCTTAAAAGGGGAAAAATTCTGCCCCCACTTCCCCATGGAGAACATACTTTCATGCCCGGGGCCCAAAATTTTGCCACTTGCTTAAAATTTTTTTTTAAAGGGATGCCAAAATTTTACACCTAGTTCAAATGCAAGTACCATTATCTCCTTTCCCCAAGATCTACCTGCCCAGAGTCGGTTTTAAACTGACCTTTTTTTTAGCACAGTATTTTAAAAAATAAAGCCATCATTTATGCGGGGCACAAGAATATTTTTTTTTTAAATTTCTTCTTTTAAACAAACCAGCTTATCCCACCGAAGCAGGGTTATCCGTCTAAGAAGACACTTTCCCCTGTCACTTTTTAAAAATGCCCGTTTTGCCAAAGGGAAAAAACCGACATCACAGTTTGGATGACCTTCCAAAACCCCAACATCCCCACCCCTCCCTTTTGAGTACAGGCACTGTACTTCTCACTCCAAAGACTCATTCTGACTAACCCTTTCCTAATCCCTTTTTAAATGCTACCCTTTCTCACACCCCCAACAGCACATCAAGTCAAAGAAGACCACTTACCTCCACTTTCCCATCTAACAACTCACACAAGCCTGTTAATTGTCCAAGCTCCCCCGGGACCCAAACCCTCCATTTTCCCCCTTTTGTCCCCGCCTTTCCTAAAAAGAATTTCCCAAACCCCCTTTCCCCCCACTCCACAAAAAATGATGATTTAAAAAGTTAGCTCTAAAAAGGGGAGAGAGATTGAGAGATTTGAGTTTTCAGTATGCTTACAAAACCCCCCCCCAGTAGCATGTCAGATCCAAAAAACTCACAAATGCCCCTTTGGGAAACTAAAAATGCTCAAAAATTTTTAACCTCAATCCCCAAACCCGGGTCTTTTGAACCTACCCTTTATGCCATATATCTTTAAAACTTGCCAGACATCCCTACACCTTCCATCCCAAAAAGAAATTTTGTTCCTACCTTGCTCCCTTTTTTTTTTATTGTTTTTGACTTTCACTTTTGAACTTAAAAAAGGGGCCCCGGCTCATAAAGGGGAAAACCTGGGATGTCTAAGGGCATGTTTTTAATAACATTGAAAAAAAACACCACCTAGGGCCAGCAAAGTACCTTCATACAAATTATGAACAAAAATTTTAAATGGTCCTAGGTAGTGGGTTTTGGTAACGCAACTGCCCAGGGGGGTACACCGTCCGCCAAGTGATGTAAAACGGAACCTTAATTTTTTTAATGATGGTGGGTTTGCGGGTTCTTTTTTCTGTCCATAGACATGCAAGATTTCAGGATGTCTTGCTACTTTTTTTTGCACTTAGGTCCACTACACATACATATATGAGCATATATATACAGTGGACCCCTGCCTAACGATCAATCCCAACTCGACCAATTATGAATGTATTTTTGTAAGTGTTTTTTGTAAGTGCATTTTTTGGGTTCTGAAAGGGACTAATCTAATTCACAATATTTTCCTTTTGGGAACAAATTTTGGGCTAAAAACGGCACCCGAACAGATTCTGATTAAAATAATATCGTTAGGGGGCCACTGTACAGTGACCCCCGGTTAACGAAATTTTTTTATTCCCAAAGTTGTTCAGGGCCATACTGACCGAATTTTTCCCATAAGGAATATTGTGAAGTAGATTAGTCCATTTCAGACTCCCAAACATACACATACAAACGCACTTACATAAATACACTTACATAATTGGGCGCAATTTTTGGGGGTGCGTTAAGCGGGTCCACTGTATATATATACATACCCCTCTGGGCTTTCTTCTATTTTCTTACTAGTTCTTGTTCCTTGTTCTTGTTGTTTATTTCCTGTTATCTCCATGGGGAAGTGGAACAGAATTCTTCCTCCTTAAGCCCTGCGTGTTGTAAGAGGCAACTAAAATGCAGGGAGCAAGGGGCTAGTAACCCCTTCTGTATAAAATACTAAATTTAAAAAGAAACTTTCATTTTTCTTTTTGGCCACCCTGCCTCGGTGGGATACAGCCGGTGCGTTGAAAGAAAGAAAAAAATTAAATGGTCAATGTATTATGAGAAAGGACACAAAACCTCACCTATACAAAAATATAATATATTAATATTATTATATTAATAGGCCTGGTCACAGACCAGGCCGCGGGGGTGTTGACCTCCTAAACCCTCTCCAGGCATACTCCAGGTATGTGTATATACAACCTACAATCTACTCTACTACAACCCACATCACCACACTCCAGTTTTCCTTTACCATGTACTCACATAGTTCACTAGCACACTGCTACTAGTGAGTAAAACAAAATATTTTTTTTTTTCAACAAACTGGCTGTATCGCACCAAGGCAGGGTGGCCCAAAAAGAAAAATGAAAGTTTTTCTTTTTGAATTTAGTAATTTATACAGGAGAAGGGGTTACTAGCCCCTTGCTCCCTAAAACAAAATATATAAACATTTATAAACAGGGAGACTCCATGACACCCCCCCACCTTTCTGCTGGACTGTCTACCAGCAGGCAGAAACACTATGCGAGTACTCTCCTAAAACTTAAACAGGCCTCTGCATACTAGGCCCTTACAGGTAAACATGAGAGCACTTAAAACAATAACTAACCTAGGGTACTGTATAAACTTACAAAACAAACACCATCATTACATAACAGACTTTGAAGTATTAAGACATCTTGCTGCAGGTGCTGCACTCCATAAACTCACACTCACACACCTCAGTCTCCTCTTTCCTGGCCACTCTGCCTGACCAGGAATATTACGTGTCCAGTTTCAGAACAATCCTGGAACTATGGAGCATTTTTTGAAATATTTTTACTGCAGCACACTGCGTAATAAATACACTGTAATATCCAACAAGACCCAAACTTTCTTCTGTCTAACAGGGAGAATTTCAACTACCATGTTAACTTGGTCTGCAGGTAGTCACATTAGTGGGGAAAATGGAGAGGTTGCGAGGCTCTCCCCTTCAACCTGGAATACATCGCTCTGTTGCTCTTTGGCTTGAAGCGGTTACCAGTGTTCAAGAGAAACGCCGAGATGAGGTAGTTAATGCAATTACTCAGCGTCATAATCCACTACCTAATGCTCATCACACCAGTGAACAAGGTAATTTTTCATTTATTTTTTTGGCAGCCATAAGTTTGTACTATAGCTTTGAATTTTTTTTTTTTAATTTTTAAATTTTTTGTAATAAGATGGTAAAACTTGTTAGCTTTTTTCAGAAACCACTTGATTTTTGTTTTGAAAATATCCCATTAACGAGGTGAGCAAATTATAGTTTTACATTCATGGCAAAATTATTGTTTGGTTTCAATTTATTCTCAGACCTGATAGCTTTGGCATCAGCAATGGGAGGACTGGCAAGTGCTAGTCGAGGGGCCCGAACGGCCATGTTCTGTGCCCTGACACTCACTACCCACCACAGCATGGAGCCAAGCCTGGCCACTGCTTCATCACTCCCAGCCCATCTACTTCCAGAGTCACACTCTCCAACATCATCATCCTCTCCTGACTGCATCCCTGAACCACAACAGCTCTCTCCTGTAACTTCTTCTGCTCCTTTTATGCCCTCTGTAAATACCGGTGTGAATGCCACCTCCACCATCCCTACTACTGTTGGAGGTAATGGTGTAGCAGTGACAACAGCCACACTTGACACAATCACTGTGGCTCTGAAGGATGAAGGAGGAGCATCTAGTGCTTCAGCAGCATTAACCTCAACCATGGTAAAGTCTATCAACTCTACTACCTCTTCACCCACTTCTCTGACTGATCAGTAAAAACAGCTTAAAAGGAGGTGAGGATCCTGTATAAAATTACGAATGGAATTTTATGATGAAATGATTTCCATTGAGTTGCTACACCTTCAAATTGTATGAAATGCAATTTGATAGTACAATCTATAATAATGGTAAAAAAATAGTAACAGGTACTTAAATCAAATTCATACACTTTTTTTAATCAAACTGTTATTAGAATGCCTGATGTAATATTGTATAATAGTAAAAATATGTAAAGATGGGAGTTTATAATGAAGGGAGATAGAAAATATTTGTAGGGGCAGTGGAGTTACTTTAGTTGTTTTGGTCATTACAGTGATCAAAGTATGACACAGTGTATGCTTCAAAATACCAGTGACTCACTATGTACGAATGATAAATTACAACTTGTAATGCTTAAAGTTGCTCTTATGTCCTTTTATGGTTATGTTGATATAGACAAATGATGAACAAATGTTTTATTGCTGTCACTTTGTAGCCCAAGATCTATATCTGTGTGGCGTATAAGTTGTGTAACCTCATACATATATATATGTATGTATATATGTTGACACTAATACATGTTCTCACATACAACAATTACATAAAATAGCACACATCATATACATGCAGTATTCACATATACAAAAATACATGTGTGTATTCATTCATTGAAGAACCCATTGGTGGACCTTTGATGCATTAAATTGAGCTCAGACAAGTACCCTTATAAGAGATGATGAGTTAAAGCAGTTAATTCAACCGCTGAATATCATAATCCACTAGTGAACATGGTATTCTTAATGAGTTTATTTTTAGTAACCAAAGTTTGTATTAGTAAAATTTATAATGACCCACTTTTACCAACTTTCTCATGAATCTTCCTAATCATATTCACAGTATTAGTACATATTCCTATTTCTGTAACCACAGATAGATAATTATAAGTAGGTAATCACACCTCCCTATGTGTATTTCTCTCTCTCTCTCTCTCTCTCTCTCTCTCTCTCTCTCTTCTCTCTCTCTCCTCCTACTCTCTCTCTCTCTCTCTCTCTCTCTCTCTCTCTCTCTCTCTCTCTCGTCTCTCTCTCCCTTCTCTCTCTCTCTCTTCTCTCTCTCTCTCTCTCACATCACTCTCTCTCCTCTTCTCTCTCTCTCTCTCTCTCTCTCTCTCTCTCTCACGTCTCTCTCTCTCTCTCTCTCTCTCTCTCTCTCTCTCTCTCATCTCCTCTCTCTCTCTACTCTCTCTCCTCTTCTCTCTCTCTCTCTCCTCTCTCTCATCTCTCTCTCATCTCTCTCTCTCTCTCCATCTCGCTCTCCTCGTCTCTCTCTCTCTCTCGCTCTCTCTCTGCTCTTCTCTCTCTTCACTCTCTCTCTCTCGTCTCTCTTCTCTCTCTCTCTCTCTCTTTTCCTTCTTTCTCTCTCTCTCTCTTCTCGTCTCTCCTCTTTTCTCTATCTCCCCCTCCATCTCTCCTCTCCTCCTCTCTTCTCTTC